GATATTAAGGGTAAAAGCTACCCAAAAAAGACTGGGAGCTGGGTCTGGGGTCCACAGACCTGCAATCTCTAAACTAGGGAAGGCTCAGATCCAAGGACTTCAAGTTCAAGGCCAGCTCAGGCAACAGTGAGACCTCGCCCCACGGGTACATTAATAACACAGTTAACATTTTTAAAAAATCTGCTGAAAGATGGGATTTAACAAACAAACCAGCAAACCGCTCAACCAGGAGAAGGTACGTGCCAGCAAACCTGATAGACCAAATTTCATCCCCAGAACTCATGGTGGGAGAGGGACCCAGCTCCTGCATGTTGTCCTCTGACCTCCACATGTGCACAGACATGCCGACACACTCAAACAAAAGTGAATGTGACTTTTTCTGTTTTGTGTTCTGAGGCAGGGTCTCAGGGTGGAGCCCTGGCTGGCCTGAATTTCCTACGTAGATCAGGCTGCCCTCCAACTCACAGAGATCCGTGTGCTCTTTTCCCAAGTGCTACACTGAAAGGTGTCTGCCACCACGCCTGCCAAATAAATGTCATTACAGGTTTTTTTTAGAGCAGAAGAGATGTCTCAGCAGAAGAGAATGCTGCTCTTGCAGTAGACCTAGCTTTGGTTCTCAGCACTCATGGCAGCTCCAAAGGAACTGACACCCTCTTCTGACCTCATGGGCACTGCATACATGTGGCACACCGGCACGCCTTCGTGCAAAACACCCATACACACACATAAAAAAATAATGAACATTTTCTAATAATTTTTATATGTGTGTTTTTAAATTTTTTATTATTTTGTTTGTTTGTTTGAAACTACATACGCTCTATGTAGTCTTAGCTAAGCTGGAAGTCGCTGTGTAGAACATGTCCTCAAACTCAAAGAGATCTGCCTGCTTCTGCTTCCCAGATGCTAGGATCAAAAGCATGCACCTCTACACCCAACTTTACATATATATATTTGTTTAATTGTTTTTATTTTATGTGCCTTGGTGTTTTGCATGTGTGTATGTCTGTGTGAGGGTGTCTGATCCCAAGAATTGGAGTTATAGTTGTGAGCTGCCATGTGGGTGCTGGCAGTTGAACCTAGGTCTGGAAGAACAGGCAGTGCTCTTAACTTCTGAGTCATCTCTCCAGGCCTGTTCATGCCCTTTGTTTGTTTCTTTGTTTGTTTTAAGCTACAAAAAGATGATTCTCTTTCATAACAGATAGTGAACTAGAAGAGTGTTGGCCAGTTAAAGAGCATGCAAGTCTGAGTTTTCTCCAAGCATTTAGTTGTGCAAGAGGGATAGATTTTAAGTTAATTTTGTTGAGTCCCTATATAACACAAAATGTTTGTGTATGCTGGTTTCAACCTCCTAAGTGGTAGGATTGTAGTATTTTACCACATTCAACATAAAGTTGATTATATTACTCCTTCTATTAGTGTGTTTTTATTATATAGAATGGGGTTTGCTCTATTTCCACACATGTTTGCTAGCCCTTGAGGGAATGTTACATCCTGTTTCTGGCTGAGCACTCAACAGTCACTTGTCCTTAGCACTTTGCCAGTTATGAGTGTCTGCAGTTACAGCCTCTCAGAGAGGCCACAGCTGACCAACCTGTGGGGATAAACATAGTTATTTAGAAGGCAGTTTGATGGGCATATCGTGATAATTTAACAAATGGCTGTGGCTTCCACACTAGAGCTTAGGACCTCTTCAGGCAGACTTTGATATGGTTCACAGTACAGAGTTGAGTTCCTCCTGTGGGGCAGGCCTCAGTTCCGATCAGAGAGCAGTTGATTATCCCATAATAGACTTGCCAGTGGTCAGGCACACCTGCCTGGCACAGGGTTCCAAGGAAGACTGTGTATGGCGGGGCTCCCTCAGCAGCCTGATCAGCATCTCCCAGCACTGAGGGCTCGCCAGCAGGCAGGGCCTTCGGTTCAGTTCTGGCTCACTTTGTGCTGTCACCAGAGCATGTGCACGTGGGCGGTCAGGCAGGTGGGTGTGGGCAGAGTAATAGGGTCCTGACCTGGTGAGCTAACTATCACCTGTATTGTTTGGGGTCTTCAAAGGCCTTCCCGACCAGCGGTTTTAGGAAGGAGGTCCAGCACTGGGACTTTATTTAATAACCTGTGGTTTCTTGAAGCAGCTGTAGCCTCACACACAGGGTACTTCTCTTGGGGGGGGGGGGATATTGAGGCAGGTTTTTCTCTATATTCCTGGCTGTCCTGGAATTCACTCTGTAGACCAGACTGGCCTCAGATTCAGAGATCTGCCTGCCTCTGCCTCTGCCTCTGCCTCTGCCTCTGCCTCTGCCTCTGCCTCTGCCTCTGCCTCTGCCTCTGCCTCTGC